CACAACACAAGCCCAAGAGATGGAGCCTACTGACTCGGTTTACCTTACTTGGAGGACCTCCTGCAGGGACCACTTCTCCTTCCTAGTCAATTAAGAACGAGTTTTTCCTTCTTTCTCTCTTTAATTTGCCCTTATCTGCTGGTCAGCTCGTGTTACCACTATCAATTACTTCCGGAACAGGAGGCGTAATTTTTAAGTGGGCGTTTATTTGAGTTATCTCGCAGAGTACAACAAGCACCTTTATTGTTTAGAGAGAAGGTTCCCTAGTGAGAGACCTCGGAGCCACGAAGACAGAGTCACCTCTCTGAAAGCTGGGACTTGGGACTTGTCTTATCCAAAAAGAGGCTTCTTACTTCCCATTCTCCCACTTATAACAAATGCCCATAGCAGTGGGTGCACAGAAGGGCCTCAGGATCCTGAGATAAAAGGAACGAATCCAGGGCCCGGTGCTGGTGCACGGAGGGTGATTCAGCACCTGCCCTGTCATGCCTGCTGCCCAGGCTGAATGGATTTTTGGAGTACACCTGTTATTGAACCCCTGCCAAGTACTGATGGCCACTAACCCCCAAATCACTTTTCCCCGCTGTTGATGTTTGGAATGTCAGACAGGACTGAGCAGCAGCCGGCGTGTATTTCAAACACAGCAGATGGATTTTTATATTAGCTCCTATTTCATGTTCAGGCAGAGCGACCGCCACAGTAAAACCTCAGCCTCAATGCTGCCGAGTTTGCTTCTGTGAGATTAATTCTGTGAAATTAATTGGGACAAGATTGAAAAGGAAATTAAAATGCAGCTGAGTGAACAGGCCTTTCAAACACCTTTTTCCTGCTCTATTCAAACTTGAATTCTGCGGCGGTCACAGGCATCGTGGGAAGTAATTTACGAGAGGCAGGCTCTCAGGAGCCATCGGTTACGTATGAGGGGACCTGCACAAGCACCACAATCTGGAGCCACTGAAGGGCGCTAAACACCCCGCTGTGGCCTGAGCTGCGGCCCTGTACCAGGAGGAAGTGGAGCTCGGTCCCTGCACTAGAAAAGGCTGTTCAGAAATATCTGGGCCCGAAAGGAACGCGGGAACATCCGCTGGATGCACAGAGCTGCTTCGTTATTAAAATCTCCTTTTAATATATTTTGAGGCCCAAACTGGAACTCAGTGAATTAAGTGGGCGTGAAGCTGCAGGGGGCCTGGGAGTGTATGGGAATGCATGTGTTAGGGGAGGCCAGCAGGAGTCCTGCTGACAGTGCCATTGGTTACCGTTTCAGAGCCTGGAAACATGGCTCTGGCCCCTCCTCTGACGAGAAGTTTGAACAATCCATCAGTTTTGTCACTGACGAAATCTCTCAGGCCAGGAAAGGCACGGTGGATTTGCATGTAGGCCTCCTCTTTGCTGGATGGTTTTCATTTCCAGGTGAGAACCTTTTGTGCTTTTGAGCATCTCAGGAAAAGTTCTTGGCAGGACAGGCTACCTTTTTTCTGTCTCAATTCACCAAGAATTTATTGAACTCCTAGAATGTTCAATACATACCCAACCTTGACCCAAAAGGTTAACTTTATTGTTAGTGGAAAAGTAGGGACTATAGTAATAGTTACCATCTTCTAGATGCCAGGCACTTCTTTACTCAAATGCTCTAATGTAAGCATCTCAGCACCCTATGAATCGAAAGGATCCCAATTTTTACAGATGAGGAAACTGAGGATTAGCAAGATGAAGTGACTTTGCTCAGGGCCACGTAAGTAACCCATCTGTTAACAACTTGCTGCCCTAAGAAGAGGACAGGTGATGGGCATTTAGTTATCTATGGGGTGCATCTTTCTTGCCCAGCCAATCATCCTCTCTGGAAAAACTTTTTTTAAAAAAAGGATAAATAGCTTTCTTTCTGGGATCATTCCTCTCCAAAGAGTCTAGGCCCTAACAGACTCCCCCAGCCCTAGGATTCTAGGATTCAAGGTTGGGTCATACTTGGGTAACTATTTAGAAATAGCAGGAGCCCAAGAATAAAGCTGTTACCCTCCTTCTCCTCCCCTCCACCCTACTCCCCCATCCAGGGGCCACTTCCTGTTCTCCACCTGCCCCCTCACCTTCAGAATAGTTTTTTTTTTTCTTTTTGAGCAAGACTAGCCCCGAGCTAACATCTGCCGCCAATCCTACTCTTTTTGCTGAGGAGGACTGGCCCTGAGCTCGCATCCATGCCCATCTTCCTCTACTTTATATGTGGGATGCCTACCACAGCATGGGTTGCCAAGCGGTGCCATGTCCATACCCGGGATCCCACCCAGCCAACTCCGGGCTGCCGAAGCGGAACCTGCGCTCTTAACCGCTGTGCCACTGGGCTGGCCCCAGAATATTTCTTTTATCACACAAAGAGAGAGGGAAACCAGATGCATTTATGAGGGTCAAAAACAAAAGAGCTGATAATTGGAATTTTTTGGTTTGTTTAATCTGAGTAAATAATTAAAGCTAAAACACATTTTTATGTGGAATTTCCTTAGCAGTTTTGCAGCGTCACCATCTTTGGAAAGGGACTGTTTGAGGTGGAAGGAACCTTAGAGGTCATCCAACACAACTCCCTCATTTTACAGGTCAGGAAACTGGTCCAGGTAAGCTGAGCTGCATCCAGTTGCATCTTGTCTTGCATTTCTCAGGGAAACAGACTTCTCCAGGTTCCTAAACAGTGGGCTTTTCCTGCCTGACAAAGGTTCTCCCGGCCAGAGAGAAAAGTAAGATGGAGATTTCTAGATACCGTTTTTCTGGACTAACCTCAACTTGGGTCAGTTCTGTTCCTCCAGGTTTGAGAGGCAGGCTGCAGAGTGTAACTGACTCCAACAAAGGCACTAGCTGGGGCTAAAGTAGAATGAATTTATGATGGATATGAGAGAAAATTCCAGAGATCAGGAGTTACTGAAGGTCTGAGTAGACAGACAGCTGAGAATGGTAGTGGAATCTCCTTTCCTATCTGTCTGAATTGGTTCATTTGTGCTTCTTAGAGGCAACGGAATGGATTGGGTGGCCTTTTAAGGTTCTTTCCCGTCCAAGGACTCTTATGGAGTTAGGTGATATAATAAAGGTAAATCCAATCCGAAATGCTCCCCAAGCCAGCGTTAACTGGAACGCAGCTTTATGAGGAAACTTCAGCGGAGATTCCAGCTTTTCATTTCCCCCTCTGACATGCAGGGATTAGCAACATGGAGAAGGGAGGTGGCTGGTGCAGCTTTTGTAGGAAGAAATGTGCTACTACGATGGTAGGAGGTGAAAATAGACTCAGGACCTTCCAGAAGACGGAGAAAGAAGCCCCATAGAACCAGGGCAGCAAAATATTCTTAGTGAGTTCAACTCTGATATATCAGTTTTTAGTAGCGGAGGAGGGGAAGGGAGATTAGTTAAAAAAAAAACCGGTGGGGAGGCTCCCCATGTTCTTTGGTATCTCTTGGAAATACAACGGCCATAGTAAGCGCAGACAGCTCTGTACTGCAGGGCAAGCCACCACACAGCCCCTTCTAAATGGAGGAAAGGACCCCCAGTGAGAAGCCATTAACAAAGGCAAAAGACATGCAAAACAAACAAAATAATCATGACTGAGAGAGAAGGCTAGCAGACAGTCTGGCTCTGTTCTCCCCTCCTCCTGCTGCAGGCACCTCAGACAATGTAAACAGTTAATTTGTTCACCTGCAGGCTCTGGGCAAACAGAGGCCTGGTCACACCTGAGTGGATAACTCGATTACCCCTGTAATGCCAGCGTGGTAATGTACACAAATTCTATTACACGGCAAACCTTGCTTTCGGGCATTTGAAATACCAATCAGGCCAATGTCCACTCCCTTCTTCGCTTACAATTTATTCTTGGTGTATTGGAGCCGCACCAGAATGGCATTAGGGTGGCGCTGAAGTAGCTCTCTGGAAGAAATCACTAGAAGACTGTGATCTCAGCGGGGCTGGCAGGACTCCTACTCTTTTGCAAAAGGTTGGGTCTGAATTTGGTCCTTGTTCAAAGCGGGGTCGTTGGTCGTTGGAACAACTAAAGGGTACCGTGGGTCAGCCCTTGTCTTTTTCCTAAGGAGCTTATGTTATATTTCAGAGAGAAACCCTTGGCCAAGGTGGTAACATTCACGGAATAAAGAGAAACGGCCAATGATGGATTAATAATACAATAGGTTTTCAATTTTCCTTTATGGAATCCACATCATCATCATCAATTAAAGAGCAGATTGTGCCTATTTCAAAAATGCGTTTGTAGATATTGACTGACCTCGGAGAGAGAACTTTGAGGTTTTTTCAGGGATAGAACCTATTTCCTTAGCGCACCCATGCAGAATATGTGTAGTCTTTCTTTACAGAGGTGATGCTGCCAATCTCTCAGACAGTAGCCCGCGAGTTCTGAATCTTCTTCACATTGGTGATGGATCTGCAATAATCCAGCCTTTTTTTTTCTCCCAACTTTTTATGATCAACAACACTATCTGTGAGATGGTTAGCTGGGGCTAGGGGTTAACTTTGTGACTGAGGAAGAGAATAAAGTTAGCTGGCCCTTGTGGGGCTAGATTTGCTATCTTGGCCTTATCAGCACTTGCTCAAACCAATTGAGCTAACCAGCTCTGACTCCTCCCCCCATACATAATTATATTACAGTCCTGTTTATCTATAAATGAAATAAGAAGGCGGCTGACCTAGCTAGAGTGTTTTCAAGAGTATTATATGGTAATAAATTATGTACATAGTGATGACCTTTTAAGCACAAGACCCTAAAAGGATCCAGTTTTGATTGGCTTGGCTTTAGTATTATGTCTACTCTATTGTTTTTTTTAATTTGAAAATTGGTTCCTGACTCTTAATTTTTAATTAAATTTTTCCCTAACAATTATAAATCAATGCGGATTTACTCTAGGTGTGAGGGATTCATGTAATACACACAAGAGAAGTATATGACTTCTGGTTACGATGACTACATCATCAAGAATAAAAAAATTCACTCTTGAGCCAAGCCCCACTTTCTGCATCTTTACCTTGCTCAGAATGCGGATGAGGTCACCCCGTTGGAAGGACAGTTCATCTGGCTGGTCACTGTGGCAATCCCATAGGCCCTGGTAATAAGTGGCATAGTCCACTGATCAAAGAGAGGAGAAATCAAAGTTAAAAGGATTCTGTCTTTTTCCATGGAGCCCACAGTTTTGCTGCAAATGGAAACAAGGGTTGTAATACTGCCCCTAGGAAATCTAAGATTTAGGGGGGTCGGGATGAGGCATAGCCAAACACTCAGCATGAGCAAAGGACTGTGGGAAAAGGAAATCATTAACTAACATTAAATATTTACAGATCACCCTTAGTCGGATGCTATTCAATAATATGATAAACATATTCATTTATTAATAAAAGAAAATGAGGCAGGTAATTTTTCACTTAGTTTGTAAGTAAGCAGCACAAAGAGATTTCCTGCCAGACTTTCTTGATCCAGGGTGCTTCTCTTCATTATGCATTTGAAGGAAGAGGACAAGTCTCCGACTTCTGTCTATTTACAAGAGAGGCTGAGTCAGCCAGCATGTGTCTACCTCACAGCCTCACACGTTAGCCTCCTCTGTTATACAGAAACTTCATCCTGGGCACTTCCCACCCAGGTGCTATATGAGGTAATCACCAATAAATACGGAAACAAATACCCCAGTCTTTAAGTGGAACCAAGGGGGTGTCTCATCCATTACAACTAAATTCTGGGTGGGCTGGCCCTTTTCCAGCATCTCATTTGTAAACCCTGAACATGTCTGCCAAGATTTATCTGCAAGCCCCCAGGGGAACAGAAACCAAAGTGATCTGCATTAAAAATGAAAGCAACTGAAGACGACAAACTAAGCTTTAGAAGCAGCTGGAAAGATTTACTAGGCTTCTCAGCAAGACTAGATGGCAGTGATGCCACAGGACAGCCATCGATTCTTAACAATGAAGAATTTGTATCGATCTTCTTCTACCCGGAAAGGTTAAACACTAGAGTACAAAGTGGGAGAGGATCTGGGGGTTTGAATGGCAGGGGAGATAATGCCCACTAGACATAGGGATAGATAGGGGTAATGTGGCAATGCTCCCTGTTCCTTAGGATGCTACATATGAGAGCTGTAAGCAAAGCACCTACCAAAGATGAAATTCCTATGGATGGGAGTCAGGAGTCCTGGGTTCTAATTAAAATTCAAGTGAGTTGAGGGGACCTTAGTCTACCAGTTTCTGCCTTTCCTTTCATTTGTCTTGACCCTCCCATGAGGAGTGAAGGTGCTAGTCTCTGAGGATGGGAACAGATCGGGGGCAAGTGGGCAGTGTGGGGACAGAGGCCCTGGCTATATTTGCTTTTTTTCTACTTGTTCCTAACCTATGAGCAATTCAAATAATAAAGGCACGGAGAACAAGATCTCCACGTCTCTGGAAAAGAACTTCAGTAGGAATCTTAGAGTTCACAGAAAAAGAGCGGGGACAGAGCTGTTTAGTTAAGACTCAGATATTGCAAACAGAAGTAAAAACGTCACCCATGTAGAAACTGGAGCATGTTTTCTTTACACAGAAAATTGTTTGCATATGCAGTTGACAACAGAGGGCAGCAAACAAGACAACTACACTGGAAACATTCCAGCAGAGAGTTAAGAACATGACTTGAAGAAAAATACATTGGGAGAAAAATGCTAACTATTGAAAAGACAAGGCATATATTTTTTGGGAGATCAGTGTGTGAAATAATGGAGAAATATCTGTCCCTGGAAAGTGAAAGTAGTTTTCCCAGGTTATAAATTTACGTATTTTCAGTCCTAATGGAGTTGATTCATCAACCCAAGACTTTGACTAAATTTAGGAATGAAATGCATATTGACATCACTATTCTTCATGGATTTATATATTATAGAGAAAATTATTTTATAAAAATAGATTTTTAAAACATAGCTTGATATTTCTTTTTTTTTTTAAGAGATTTTATTTTTCCTTTTTCTCCCCAAAACCCCCCTGGTACATAGTTGTGTATTTTCGTTGTGGGTCCTTCTAGCTGTGGCATGTGGGATGCCGCCTCAGCATGGCTTGATGAGCAGTGCCATGTCCTCACCCAGGATCCGAACTGGTGAAACCCTGGGCCACCGAACCAGAGCACGCGAACTTAACCACTCGGCCACGGGGCTGGCCCCAGCTTGATATTTCTGAATGGTAAAAAGACTAACAAAGTTGTCTTGGCTTTTTCTGGCCTAGCAGATGGTCACCATGGGGTACTGCTCCCCACATGCCTGGAATGTTGGACTAGCTCCTAAGATTATGAATATCTTTTGGGTATATATGTATAAAGTGATTTGATATTGGGTATAGAAGACACCAGGGGAGAACACCTGGAAAAAGACCTCTCGTAAAAGTAAATAGATCACAGGGAAAGCAAGGAGCTAGGAGGAAAACAGAAGCCTTCCAAGAAAAAATAAAGGTACAAAATGCCTTTGGTTCTTCATCAGCTAAAGGCCAAAAGAAGATATTGTGGCGCTCAGGAATCCAGGAGACAGTTTTAGCCTAGCCCAAGAATCAGAATCGTCAGAACTGGAACCATGAAGAGCAGCTCTCAAAAATGAGCAGAATGAAGGGCTGAAAGCGGGGAAAAGGTTGGACTTGCTGTCTGGACAGAAGTATTCTGGCATTAAGGAAATCAGTGAAGAGTAATGCCCAAGCTGGATGAGACTGGCCTCGTATTGCCGACTCCCTGTTTAACACGTGTGATTTACACTTACGTGTATGTGTGCACACCACTTCACTACACACATTCCTCAGCATTCAAAAGACATGTATACAGCACCTACTAAGTGCCAGGGACTTTGCTAGATGCTGGGAATCCTGCATTGGCCACACACGGTCCCTGCTCTCAGGGCTACCATCCAGTGGGGAGGCACCGTGAAACAAATAGTCACCCAATATTTATGTATTTAGGATTACCATATGTCTGCAAAAGAGAAGTTGAGGGTGCTGTGTATAATAGGGAATCTAACCTAGTCTGAGGGGGTCAGGGAAAGCTTCCCCTAAGCTCTAGCTGTGTAATGAAAACCTGACCAAGAGTGGGTGTTTTTTATTTATTTATTTATTTTTGAGGAAGATTAGCCCTGAGCTGACATCTGCGGCCAATCCTTCTCCTTTTGCTGAGGAAGACTGGCCATGAGCTAACATCCGTGCCCATCTTCCTCTACTTTATATGTGGGATGCCTGCCACAGCCTGGCTTGCCAAGTGGTGCCATGTCTGCACCTGGGATCTGAACCAGCAAACCCCGGGCCGCCAAAGTGGAACACGTGCACTTAAGCGCTGCGCCACCAGGCCAGCCCCAGAGTGGGTGTTATTTAAAGACCTTGAAGTGGGGAAGAAGGAATGCTGAGGAGGGCTTCATTCCTGATTTGGCTCCAGGAAGAGCCTGAAGGCCCGGAGGTCTGCAGGGCCAGCCGAGCTTCTCCCTACACTTGCCCAGCTCATTCTATGCACAAGTGAATGCATGAGGAGGAGGGTTTCTTTCGATCAGGGAGAGGGACTGAGAGCCCGGGAGAGAGGACTGCCTCTGCTGGCTGGGCTGGGGTTCCTCCAGGTCTCCATTACTCTGGCGGCAGTCTGAGATCAGAAACGGTACAGCATTCTGAGCATTTAATTAATTCAAAACATCCTCAGTCTCATTTTGAGGACATTATTCCATCTAATTATTTTTTTTCCAGTCTGTCCATTTGGAATGAAAAACAAAAGAATAAAGCTTAATGCCAGCATTTCTCAATGTCTCTCCAAAAAACGTAACTCTGCACTAAATAAAGCCTGATAATTCAAAAGCAAAGCACTAATATATTCAGCATAAAGCAGACAGAGGACCTAGAGCAGTAATGACACCACTAATAACTAAAACAGTTATAACAATTAACAACAATTACAATGATGGAGAAGCTAATGGGTAAGATCACCGCATTTAAATTACTAGCAGAGCTGAGAAGGACTTTTCTAGAGGAAAAAAAAAGGGCAGCATCTTATTTTCTTCATCCCACATAAGAAGAGCTAAGCTCCAAACAAACCAAATGTCATATGAAGAATAGCTACAGACCGAATTAAAAAAAATATATTGTTTTTCTCTCTTTTCTAGGTATTTATTGTAAAGCGTTTGTCATTCCACATCAAGTTCTTTATAACCAATGATGGTCATTTCTTCTGTAACTGGGGCCAAGTTGGTGATACTGTTGACAGTCAATATCTGAAAATGAGGCTCTATAATGTAGAGAGCTGTAAGGTAAAAACCAGGACACCTTTCTGCCTCTCCTCCTTAGGGACAATGGAACCTGACTGTGTTCCTTCCGGAGTTCATATGTCACCTTGGGCTTCTGTTTGGGGGATATTGGGTAGCTCCAGAATTCAAGCTGAGACCAAAGAAAAGAGCATAAAGGCAGGTCACCATGTTGTTTACATTTTCTCGATGAGCAAAAGGACTGTGCCAACGAGGCCTGGTATGAGGTACAACTACTTAACAAATTATGGAAAAGAGAGACAAAACAGGAAGATAGATAAAGCTAGTCTTTGCTCTACCATGGGTCGGTGAGATTTGGACAGAGAAGGCCAAAGCAGTGGCCCACTGGAAGGGACCTGCAATGTTTTCTAGGCCAGGCCAGAAAAGGTCACTATGTCCAGTCCATTAAAGCAGGCTCAGGCTGATACCTTATTAACTAATTAAGAAGGAAATGCATGAAAAATTTGCCAAGCTCATGGACTATGACACCAGAACAGGAAGAGCAACTGAACAATACCATTTGCTTGGGCTGTTTTCATAGCTCTTTTTTTTTTTTTTTAAATTGGCACCTGAGCTAACATCTGTTGCCAATCTGTTTTTTTTTCCCCTTCTCCCCAAAGCCCCCAAGTACATGGTTGTATATTCTAGTTGTAGGTCCTTCTGGTTGTGCTGTGTGGGATGCCGCCTCAGCATGGCCTGATGAGCAGTGCCATGTCCACACCCAGGATCTGAACCAGCAAAACCCCGGGCCACTGAAGCTGGAGTGCATGAACTTAACCACTCGGCCAAGGGGCCGACCCCTTCATGGCTCTTTATTGTTGAATTCTGAAATCACTAATGGTCCTTAATGTTATAACTATGATCTTGAAGTGGGAACACTCACAGATCCTGGTTTTCATCTCCTTTGCTCCTTTTATGGGACCAAAAATTGTAGCTGGCTGATGATCAACTCATGTTTGGTCTTGGGAAGTAGGTTTCAAAGAGCAAAAGCTGCGAATACCTCTGTGGCTTCTCTCTGTTTCTTTCATGTAATAGTTCACTCCGTTGGCGGGCACAAAGTGGAAAGAGTGCCTCGCAGATGGAACGCTTATCAGCCAGCATTTTTCTGCCCTGCAGACATTACTGAACGAGGCTCCTCTTTGGCCGAGTCTGCCCACAATTTCAGAGTGAAAACAACCTCTTTCAAGATCTTGGTCAAAGATTTAACGTGTCTGAGGGTGATCTGTACCTCGAGCTCTGCTTTTTATTTGACACGGCATACCCAAGCAAATGGCCAGTCGTTTTCATATAAGCAGCACAGAATGAGTTTTATTTTTTGGTTTCCTGGACATTGCCTTCTCATGATAGGGAAGGGAGATAAGCTCTCATCACTAAAGACACTTAGTGTTAGACTGTTAGGCTGATGGGTTGGAATTTAGTGAAAATTGGAGGTGTTGAAGAGTCACTCATTAAAATAACCCTGTTACTAACAGTCATGCTGTAAACTGAGCTCTTTATAGATTGAACAATCAATACTACAAGGCTGTGATAGATTTTCTAGGTAACAGAATAAAATAAAAGAAATTACATCTTACAGGGTCATTAACACCCAATAAGGATAAACTGAATTCCCTTTTCCCCCCTCTTCTGATAAGATCTAGTTGGGCTTTAAAAATGTTAGCAATTCCGTCAGGGAAAAGCACAGCATTCCGGGAACAGGATCCCTGGAATAGTATGTGGATTTTCAAGGTAACCCTGGTAGCTACAGTATCTGTTAGGAGAAAAGATCCGACCCACGGGTGCCCCCCTGTCCTGGCCAAAGGCATGTAACATGAGAAAAACTAAGCGAACCAAACTTGTGTAGTTTGTCTATTACATAAGAATTCCCATCGTCGTAAGCTCCCTGCTTTTATATGCTTTCACTGGGGCTGCTCACCCTTCCCTCGGACCTCTACATGTATTTTATTGTTATAATGCTAAGTGATGACATTTGGATGTTACGTATTTGTCGCCGTTTCTATAGCTCCTTTGGAGAAAAGGCACTACATAAATTCAGTAAAGAAAGAAATAAACACAAATAATAAAAATTCCTGCCTCAGATTCTGCAGAGAGAGCAAAAAATCCTCCCCTGTTTTCTAATCACCAAGTCACCAATCATTATAACTTGTGGGAAGTATAAACCATAGAAACATATTTAGAACTCACTACACTTTAACAACACCTATTTTGGAGGCAGGAAGCATGACGAAAAAAGTTTTTTTTTTAAAAAAACCTACTTGAATTATAGCTGCTGGAACAGTTAAGGAATAAATCTCCCTTCACCCCCCAGATGGAATCTTAGAAAGAGAGGCCGAAGAAGGAAAGGAGGTGAAGGAAGAGGCTCAAGCTGAATTTCAGGCTTTGCCAGAAGACTGCTGCTTCCTGAATGGAGTTTAATATAAAGTCGGCCACAGGAAGCTTCCAGTTATTCCACTCAAGCTGTCCATGTGAGGTGTTTCTTTCCTGCACTGGTGATGGAAGTTGGTTGAGAAAAGACCTACGTGGGACATGGGTTGGTCAGGAAACAGATTTTCTGTTGTAATTCTGTACAAGTAGAACACAGCAAAAATAGATTTCAGAATGGACTTAATCACGTGGGTTAACTGCCATGGAGCACTGACTTGAACTGCACTAACACGCCTGCACCATACCTGCCTCAGTTCTTTCTCTCCTGCTTTGGCGCATGACTCTTCACTGTCTTTTCTCGCCTTGGGAGAACTTGGGCGTTTATGAAGTTGGGTCCTTCACTAAACCTGTCACATATTCACTTCCCGCAGAGAATGAACCAAGGAAAGGGGGCTTTGCTGAATGGATAAGGAAGAGAAGAAAAGGCACAAGGAAGGAAGAGAGAGGAGAATGGGAAAAGGCAGGGCTAGAGAAACCGAGAGGGAGTGGGGAGGCGAAGTGAGAAAGAACTCCTGGGCTTCAGACTTTCATAGACTCTCTAAGGAAAAATCAGCTAGTATCTAAATCAGCCAGAATTCAGGCTCTGCTGATGGAATGAATGTCCTTGGGGCGGCCCTTGCAGTGTGCATTCCTTTACTGACAACGACGCAATAGGTCCTTGGTCCACTTAAGGAGGCTTTAGAGGGGCATCTGACCTTAGAAAGGAAGGGCTCGCTAACAGCCTGCAGCATGGTGAACAGACTGGGATGAGTAAAGATGTAATTGTGTATTCAGCAAACCTGTTACATATTCATTTCCAAATGTGCCTGGAATCAAACCAGGCCATCAGAAGTCAGCATCACCAAGCAATTCTATCCTTCACCCCACGTTCACTTTTCAGATCTGACACATTTCCATTCCCCTCTGAACTTGCAATCTCCGGGCCTCTCAGAGAGGAGACATTTCCATTCTTTCCATTCTCAATCCTCTGATCTCTTAGAGATGAGGCAATTCTATTTTCACTGTACTGATTTAAGAAATACTGATAGGAAAAAATAAATATCTGGTTTGGCTTCCCACCCTCTCTAGGATAAACCTTGGCTGTTCTGGGAACATTAATTAAAGTGAACGGGTGGCTGTTTTAAAGTTAAGACTTCCCTATCCAGTCATCTCATGTGGGGCTTTGGAGGTCCACACACCAGTACGCTCTTAATTAGCGAGTCCCGTAATGCTTGTGTTCTGGAGAAAGGTGCCTTCTCCAGCCAGAAGCCCGGATGTCCTACCCAGTGCCTGTACATTTATGTAGCTCTCATACCTCCTTTCTGTCCAGTGCCACTCGCATCCTCTTCTAGCTCAAGCTCGTCATCTGAGGGGATAAACATGATCAGCATTAGCAATTAGTGGTCGATAGCCCTAAGTTCTCTGTACTATATATATAGTATGAGCTCACCACGTTTTCTTCTTTCAGGCAATAATCACCGTGTTCTTTTTTTTTTTCTTCCAAATCATCTCTCACCTTCAAACTGGCCCCTCTTCCTTCCCTCCCAGTTCATTCGTTCACAGACATTTTTAAGTGCTCACTATATGCGAGGTGCTGTTCTAGGAATGAGGCATGGCAATGGACAACACTGGCAGGGTCCCTGCCCTCAGAAGCTTCCAATCCACTGAGTTATCTAGGCGCCTATCACTAGAATCCTAATCCCTTTCCTCAAACTCTATTTCTCCTCTTCTTCTAGAATTCTTTTCAAAATGTATTATCTCCATGTAAGCATCCAGAGTTGGGGGGGTGTGTGTGTGAAGCTCAGCATGCATTAAACCCTCTGTGATTCAGTAATCCTCAGTGTATCAAGCTTTGTTCAGCCGTAGCAGAAGCCGGTCATGTCCACAATTTTATATCCTAGTACTTGGGGCTTGCAGTTACCTTTTTACTGTTGTTTTTCAGCCCGCCTTGTTCATTAGAGTGTAAGCGCCTGCGGGCAGCGGGAACGGTCTGTCCATGAACTGCTGCAGGTACACAGTGGGTTCTAAGTCAACGCTATTGTCTAACTCCAGTCAAGTGTTTATATGGCCAAAGTCACAACATGATTGGCCTAAGTTTAACCTGTTTTAGCTCAGACTTCATACTACCTGATGGCATGGGAATTGGGCCTTTGTCAAGAAAGCGTGAGTGCTAGAATCATATTTAGCTATTTTATACATGGGGTAAAATGAGCAAAAATACACTTGCTATTTTTCTTTTTATCACTGCCACCCTCTACCCGCTGTCTCTTTCTCATATACACCCAGTGAACCGGGCATAATAAGCAACATTCTGAGGGCTGAATACTCAGTTTCTTCTGGCCGTATTTACTTTCTCTTTCTGGGTCTCAGCACACTTACCTGTCTTGCTTCCCCGTAGTTATGCCACTAAATGGAACTTCTGTGGAGATGGCCTGGGGACAGTCCCTCCCTCCCTTTTTTTTTTTTTTTTAAATATAAGATTTATAGGGCAATATGAATTCTGGTATGTCAGGCTGGGGAAAGTAAACTCTAAGCTCATAAGTAAAAAGAAACAGCATAAAAATATGTTTAGAACACTAGAATATTAAAGAAGTAATCTATTTCACATATAAAATGATACAGTTCCCCTGCAAAAATAAAAATTAAGAGATTAACACTCTGGGGAAATAAGTCACATGTTACCAAGATTAAAGACATATGTACACATAAATATTCTTTGGGAAAAGGACTCAACTCCTCTTATCTCCAGGTATGACCCAGCAGCAGGGCATCTCCTACTCACCACCTGCAGTGTTCCCCTGACCTCACCGTGAGGAATAAAGAGGTGAGATAATGGAGGAGTGAAATCAAATACCGGAAATAGATCACGCTGAAATAAACCACATTAAACAACATTCTTTGCACATCTGATTACTTGCCCACTTCCTTCCTTCCTCTGCTATGATGCTTTTCCGTTTGGACGTGGGACCAATTTCACAGGAGTGAAAACATTAAAAGAAGAGTTGGGACGTCCTCCCTTTTAGAGATACCCAATAATTTGGACAGAGAGCAGCTCTTTTGCTGATATCAAACAACTCAATCACGGAGACCAATAAGTGGCTGTGCTTAGGCGCTTTTGCAGAGAGGGTTTATTCCACCTCTGCTGTCTGTGCACAGATGTCTCTTCCTCCCAATTCTAATCAATGTAAATTGGGTCAGATCTCCACTGTGAATTACAAATTGGATCCGAAGTTGGAGGGTCACTGTGCCTGCTACTCCACCTCCTTCCCACCACCATTAGATGGGAAGCTACACCAAAGATCTTTTCTAAATAAATCAGACTTTATTGTAAAACTCGGCCACTGACGAGACATAACCTCATTAGCATTGATTTTAAAATAAATTATTGAAAGTGGCTTGCCTGCTCTTTGCATTTGTAAAATAGGAGAATGTAAATGTATTTGCAATGATAAAAATGAAAACTAAAACTTGATTCCTTTATCCTTTCAGGCAACAGCACTTAATCTAGTCATGATACAAAAATGGAAAAAATAAAAATCTGTTCTATGCAGTTCAATTCCAGACCAGATACTCTGGTTTCCACTGCGCCTGTGGAGTCACCTAGAAAGAAAGCAGAACGCTGGCCATAGATCTTATATATCATTCACCACGATTACGAAGCTCTGCGGTGATGGATGTGAACGGGGAAGCTACAGTCCCCACATCTGTTCTATCTAACGTTGTCCTTCCCGGGTGGCTGAAAGTGGGCTTGAGTCAGGAAGCCTAGGCATTGATGTGAGGGGCTGGGTGTGTGCCTCTGCGGCTGCTGAAAGAGTAGGTATGGTATGGGGACCATCGCATAGTGAGGGAAAGCGCCCTCCACAGCTCATTATGAAAGGCACACCTCTCAGCACCCTCCCAGCTTTAGAAGGCACGGTACAGAGAGGCGTACACTTTATCTCAGATTCGTCAATGAAATCAAATGGAATCTTTCAACCTCTAAAGTCAAGAAACCTGATTATACAGCAACAGAAGAAAAGTCTCTTTGGTCACAAAAGTGAGTGGATTAAAAAGTCAAATTTCTATTTTTTCATCTGTAAGGTGGGGCTTTAATTTTAAAGAGGTTATTTTGAAAAATATATATATTTTCTAGGTTAAAGAGCTTGTTGAACTTCTTTATAAGAATATTATTAGGTATTTTAGCATTACATCTACTGAAATACATCTTCATTTAAGAGGGAATTAAAATTTATGTGCCAGCTCAACTTTAAACAGTAATAGATTATAATGGTTCTTGCTCCTAACAGGGCATATGGGACCCCAACCTTACATAGGTTAAATGCTCTACTTGATTCCCAAATATCTCATCTCAATTGGGAAAACAGTTGAGGAAGATTCTGTTAACTGTGCGAACATGGAAGAGAACCGCGGGGCATCACAAATGAGCACCAGTACCCAGAGAGTTGATTTCAATCAACACTCTTGGCACAATGTCAGGGACACTAATGAGAGGCTGAAAGGAACAGGACACTGACTCCACCTCAGAGGCACAGAGAAGAGCCAGCTTCCCATGGCACCTGGCTCTTTTCTGAAGTGCCGCTCCGACACTGAGAATAACATTAAAAAAATGACAAGATTAGAAAGAGCGAAATCACTTCCCCTAAACAAAGCAAAGAGACAGAGGCTTAAAAAATGCCAAATGTATCCACATGCAACCAGATGTCAAGGTGCTCTGGTGACAGATGCAACAGAAATATAGATAGAGTCGAAGTGCAAAGGGAATGTGCAGAAAAGTGGAAACAGAAACCATGCCATGGCACGCACAGGTATGTTATAAATCCATGGATGCCACAGCACCTCCTCGGACAACATGGAAAATATGAGCAAGATGCTAAGAACACATTTAATTCTCTGTTGTATAGTTGGTAATCTCAACTGTGACCTCAAAATATGTGCATCCTCTCTCCGTGGTATGGTCTGGATGTACAAGATATTAAATTCAATTTGTGCTGATTGCAACACTTGGAATGCACTGAATTTAATTTCACAAATAATAATTGAGCACCTACTAACCGGGGGAGAGAGACCTGAATCCCAACCACCGCGGCGAGGGCTAAAACAGAGCTCAGCTCAGGTTGAGTATCGGGGAGGGCGTCACTGGGGAGACACTGTGAGAGGAACATGGAGGGATTCATAGGCTGGGATTGGGAGGATATTCTAGGTACAGAAACAGCCTGACAGCGGGTTTTGGTGCTGGCCAAACAGCACCGTGAAGTTCGGGCGCAGAGTGCCCGGAGTGAGTGAGAAAGGCGCAGGAAGCTCGCAGGGGGCCTGAGGATGACTCTTCCTTGATGCTCCCCCCATGGAGTGTTGCTTTTCTATGAAATTGGAAATCACTTTCTTCATAAACTTTGTATCTCTGGTGTCTGCTTTTTTTCTTTCACTAGACCTCCTACTATCACCGTGCCCCCTTCCTGTGGGTCTGGACAACTGTACGGGGGAAAAAATAATTCCACAGAATGCTTGCTTCCATTTGACTCAAATTAAAAAATGAAAGCCAGTTATATGCTTTATCATACAGCATCTGGTTTCTGGGTCTGTGATAACTCTCCGGGGCAGTGTGGGCAGCATTGGAATGTGCACAGAAAGTCCCAGGGACGGCTCTTCGTCTCTGCTTCCATTTGCTCTCCCGAAGTCTCTCTGGAGAACACAGCCGGATTCTGTTGCCACTGCAGCTGCTGCAAGGCCCCAGTTACAGCTCTCCAATGGGCTCAGGCGCCTTGCTGGATTCCAGCCTTGAGGCCCCAGACAAAGAAAAACCTGATAAAAGTTGTCCTTTTATGGAATCCTATCTTGAAACTGGGCCTGTGCTAGCCTGTAAAATAATTTCGGGGAGGGGTGAGAGAAGGCTCAGAAAAGCCTCCCATTTCCCACATATTGCTTGAGAATCTTTGCAGTAGTTCCCTACAGTTTAATCTACTGCAAATGAGATCTTAAAAATCAAGGGCCCCCATATGCTCAACACGGATGTTCAGAAATCCCACTGGATACCAACCTTGAAACCATATTATCCACGACTAACATTTTTGTGGTCTTGGCTGAAAACCTCGAGTGCTCTGGTTTTCCCTCATGGGAAGGAGAGTGCTGGCCACGTAGCAAATGCTAATTGTCCCATGATTAATGTGATGTAGTGCATTTAATTTGATGACCCATACATTATTTTGATTAGGAAAAAACATTTTTGTATTGACTTGGTATGTGTTACAGGCACTTTTCTCTCTCCTAGGAAGCCCATTGAAATTATATTCTGGAAGGGAGGTCTCACTTACACGGCCTTCCCCCTAGACAATGAGGCTTGCATAGGCCCCAACCCAGAGAGGAAGGATTAGCAGAACTGTCAGTGCTAAATATTCTCCACAAAGCACATTTACCTGTTATAATGAAGCAAATGTTAGAGGCCCAAGTCATCTGACTTTTGATGGGTATGCAGTGTTCGCACAAGCCAACATTCCTGTTGGCCGTCCCTCCACCCAGCACCTGTCCTCGCCGTAAAAGCGGGCCTGAGCAGAAGGTGCGTTCCGCGTTCCATCTGCTTGGGATTTTCAGTTTCACCTGCTTCGTACACAGACCTGAAAATGTCCAACTGGACTGTGTCAGGTCCGGTTGGTGGAGTTGTGGAACTAGCCATCCCTCAATTCTTCAAGGAGGTAAAACTTCCTATTTAAACGCTGCCAAATTAATAACAGCCAGCATTTATTGAGTGCTCACTGCATGCCAGGGCTCTGTTCTAAGTGCTTTCACACAGCAGTTCTGGACTTCTCATGGCGTCCCTCTATGATAGCTACTACTGTTATCCCCATTTTACAGGTGGGAAAAATCAGATGGAGAGAGGGCAAATAACTTGCCCAAGGTCTCACAGCTAGCAGGTGGCAGAGCAGGTCCATCCTGACTTAGAGGCGGCACTTTTGCCTGTGATACACCATGCTGTCTCTCACGTGTTGCTGCTCGGCAGGTGGTCTTGTGAGATGCCAGGAGAAGGGCCACAATGTTAGGCGCCCTCACATTCCCTCTCAACTCCCCAGGACTGCCAGCGTGGCGCAAGCAAAACTAACAGTAATATCAGAAGCAATAAGCTGAGTGGTGTAGATGGGAAGCTGGGTGGTGGAGACTTATGGCCAACATATTCATACCATAATTATATGCCAATATATCCCACTTTTAAAAACTATGATGGATAGAGCTTTTGGGACAGAATCTGTGGGTTGGGTACAACATTGTCCTTTGGAAACTTATAAGCAAGTTAGTTGCCATTTCCCTAACCTCCAGGAAGAGAGCCTGGCTCAGCTACAGTGTGGCCTTTCACACTTGAGAGAGAGCGTTGCTGTGGGCATAGGGTAAGTGGCTTTCCTTGAGAAAGCAGACCAGTCTCCATGCCCTTGGAGTCCACTCCAACATCCAAACTGGCATGCATTTTGGAGGAATGTCCTGATGCCCTGGGCAGTGCTGCAATGACCGAGGGTAGGAGTTAAGAAGGCCGGGGAAGGATGGTTGTTAAGAAGCCAATCATACATTTAGTGATGCACCTGGGTAAGGTGATGGTCCCAAACTCATCTTATTTTCGGAGGCCTCTTTCCCTTTGCTGTCTTTTGCTCTGCTTCTCTGAGCATCAGCCCCCTCCTCCCTGGCTCCTTTGAGAACTAAACATGCAGCACGACAAAGGCCCCTCTTTGCTTCCCAGAAGGCTGAGTGGTTCAGTGAGGTGTTCCCAGAGCATTCTTCCACAGCAGTAACCCAAGGTGGAGTGTAACCCGGATATTTCCCCAAGCCTGGGCAGGAGTGAGCGGAACGCGAGCTCACTAGGCAGATTCTGGCCAAGTTGGGGAGAGCATCTCCTTTTAGGGAGTGTTGTGAATTAGATCCGTTTCTGCACCCTGCTGTTGCAACGGAGCAGACTGTGAAAGGGGAGATTCTCAGAGGAGCTGTGTTTTAATGTAGCAATTTGATTCAATTTTCCACTCTATAAAATTACCCATCACTGCTCGTTGCTTTCTAACAGACACCTTCACTCTTAATTTAACAATCCTATCGAATTCTGCCAGGGAAATTGGAAAAATTTATCACCTGTGAAATTTTATTTTCCTTTGGTTGTATCTGTTTTTGTAAAACTTCATTAACGACGATGACTTGCTGAGGAAATTATCATTTTTTTTTTTTAACTTCAGACACAAGAAATGGCTCGACCTCAACCAAGATATCATTTGCATAATAAACCACAACAAAAAGGCTGAGGAAGTCGGGACTGGCAGAGGCTGGAAGAGCTAGGAGAAGAAGCAGGCTCTCCTTGGTGGGGTGGGTGAGGGCCCAGCAAGGAGGACACGTGTAGCCACAGCCTGCTCCTCGACTCAGGAAGCAATGACGTGGCTTCTTCCCCAGGGAAGAGAGGGATGCAGTGTTGACAGGGTTGGACCTTCTTCTTAGGAAGTCTTGAAATGCAAGTCGCTTACTGATGATGCTTTTTAGGAACCAGTCCTGCCTTCAGGGGCCCGACTGTTAGGGTGACCTGAGTTCCTAAGTTCATCAGGGATTGAGGTTTAAATTGCAATAAATTTAGGCTTAACTTGAATTTCTCAGCAGAGCACTGAACTCCTGGCAAATTTCCACAGGAGCGATCTTTCTGAATGGACTTGAAGATTCAGCGTTCCTGTGGTCTAACTGCCTCACAATTAAAATAAGGCTCCGGCTTCAGTTTTCCACAGTCTGACCCCCACTGTGCTCTGCACTATTCACCAGCTGCTGTGATCCCCGCAGAGGTAGCTATGTGGAAGCAGCGATGACTATACATTTTTTGAGATGCCAGTTGTTATGCTTTGGGAAGAAAAAAATATGTCCAGTAGACCTGCTGGAATAGTGGGCAGAGCAACCACGTTAGGCTTATTGGAAGAGACGCAATTTGACTCGTGGTATATCTGAACTAGGTAACAATGAGTTGTGCTCTATCAGGGCTTTACTGGGGTACTGAAAAGGTTTCTCAGCATTGATCTATACTCCTTCAGACTTTTGATATCCTTCATCATTTTGGTGTCACTTTCTATTATTCTCACAATTGCAGAGAAAAGAAGTTGAAACCAGAGTTTTGATGACTCATCCTAAAACTCAGAGTAAACCAATGAAAGCGCTTAGGAGATACATCAAAAGTCATGGTTTTGACTTTTTAACCTTGTCGACATGTGTAATAAATTACTTCGCATGGCACAGATGAGAAGACACTCCCTGAGGGACTCGTCCTGCTCCCAGAGCGAGAGACGGCTTCTCTACTGGGAATCATGGACGCTCCACCGAAGCTGCCTTACATTTCTTCCTTCAGAGACTGGGCTGCCTCTGGAGTTTCAAACTTATGTTCTTCTACAAGGTCAAGAGTTTCTGAACCAGAGGAAGATCATTAGAAGATGAAAGTCTTACCTGGTAAGATTTCGTAAATATCATCGTCTTCCTTCTCCTCAGTGGGCTCTTTTAGCCCCATACTCAAAGGCAAGTTAATGCGTCTGCTTTGGGAACCAGAATTTGGGGAGTCCAAACCATCAATATCATCATAGGTCTCTTCTTCTTCTTCTTCCTCCTCCTCGTCGTCCTCTTCATATGGAATGGTTAAGGAGCTCAGATCTGCCAGAGGAGAGATGAGAATGAATCAAGATAGGGAGAAAAAGAAAAGAATAGGTGAGCGAAGGAAAGAGGGAGAAGGAGGAGGAGGGATGAGAATAAGACACGTCAAAAGAAAATGAAACACTAGGTTAAGTGCTGTTATTTCTAACGTGGGCCTCGGCGGCAGGAAATCTACGGAAAAGGGCAGACTAGCACTGCGTCAGGTTTAAACCATCAACATAAATCCTTCCTTGCAATAAAACTTGATCAGGATGACGCAGCCTGAAAAGCACGGGTGTGTGAATGAGCACACAAGGCGAGGCGAAGAAAACAGGGCAGAAGAGGAAAGGCCAGCGTGCCACGCACTGCTCGTCACGTGGAAAACTGGAAGGGTGAGTGATGGCCTGTGGTTCTCCAGGGCGCACAGGGCCGTGGGAACTGTGGCGGCTTCCAGAGGGTATGTGAGCTGTCAGAAGCTCCTCTGCCCCGTGAACTCACTGCAGAATTTCAGACAAGTTTGTTTGTAAAGAGAAGAATGAGAAAAAGTGGAAGAGGAAGGAAGCAGGATATGGAAGAATATAAGAGTAATACAAGACCAAATGGAGTGGCTGAGCGAGGTGGTTACCAGGTCCTTTTGCAACTGTGCAGTCTGGCTGACCTTAAAGTGGGTCACTGCTCTGAGGATGTTGAGCCGTGACAGGCTGGGGAGTAAGGGCAGGGGAGGGAGATTGGTTTTTTATTTTAATGGGACACCAGGAAGGTTCATTCTCCGACGTGCAGTACAGAACGCTCCCTGCAACCCTGCTGAGGGGCCTCTGCAGGCTGGGGAGTGCAGCCAGGGTACTCTGGGGAAGCAGAGGGTGGAGAGACATCCAACGCTCATTTCAAAACACAATAAAACTGTTTGGCTTGATTAGGCTTTTAATAAAGATTTTGCAACAATTTTCATCTGAATTCTGGTGCCACCTCATATGAGGAAGGGATCAAAGACACATTTGTGGCTTAAACCGTATGTTATTATTTTGTTTGTTTTAAAATAAAATGGAATGAATAATTTCTTCAATGTGGGATTCTGAAAGTACCACAGGGTACAGCTCAATAAAGCTGCTTTGAGTTTTATTGAGGTTTACACACTTAGGGGTATATTACACGCATAAATCCAAGGCACCTAGATGAGAGTGTACCCTGTAGTCTCACCATCAATGTTCATGTTTGCCTAGTTCCAGTCTATTATACGTGATGCTCTCGGAAGATGCAATAGTTTGTTTTTGTGATAGCAAAGGCATAAACAGAGTGAAATAGGCAATTCTTGTAATTAAAGCTCCGGTGCTTCCTTCTTTTTATCCACAATAAAATCTTATAGCAGAATAAAAAATGGAGATGAAAAGGCTTGGTGTTGTTACGTTGATGTGCTTCTCCCTAGGTCTGGGGCCAAGGACAAAGTTGGTGTCTGTGCCTTTCTGCAGAGGCAGGGTCCCGCCATGATGTATGCCATCCTGAGGCGTAGTGACGCCAAGTGACAGACTCAGGTTGTCTACTTCTACCTGCCAGGCCACTCCCAGACAAGGCTTTCTGGACCACTGTCACTGCTGTGCCTGCAGGCTGGCCAGCAGAGGGTACTCTAAGAGCAGTCATTGAACATCTTCAGGCAGGACTCTTCCCATCCCAAAGCAAGGAGCATTTTACTGTGGCTTGGGAAATAGCAATTTGTTTTTAATGTCTAATGTTCTTGAAGGCCACCTAGATGGGTTTAGATTTCTACTTCCTCCTAAGGCTAGAACAAGAGGATTTTGAACCTAAATCACATCTAGATGACATCAAATTTGATATCATGAATTTCCTTTCCAGAATATAAGTGCTTAGGAGATACTGGATTGAGCTGAGCTGGTTTTCAGAATCTCCTTTTCTAGTGATTATGAACGTTACAGACTTGCCTGTATTTAGATGGATGAGCTAGAGTGTTATTAGAGGTCATCTCCAGGTTGACAGTTTCTTTACCTTCTGATTCATACGTGGTACTAGTTGTTGTTAGAATACAAAGGATGTGACAGGGAGGGTAAAAGGGAGAATGGGAAGAAAAAATACATACTGAAGCCTGTGGATTATTTTTACGCAATATAACTTCAACTGTAAATCCACTCAAGCATTGTTTCTGTAATGACGATACTTACCCTTTAACAAGAAATTTATTTGATCCACCCAATCTCTGGCTTCAGCTGGATTAGTAGCTGTAAACTAGAGAAAAATCAGTGAATTAATTTATCACCTTCACTAAAATTTCCATGAATCCTTACAAGTTCCGTGAAGGAACTTGTAAGTCGAGTTTCAGAATCAAGTTGAAAGTTTGGGATTCTCTGCTTGATTAATGTTTAGAAAAAAGACCAAAATCTCAGTCGAAGTGATTTTTGCCTTCAGCAATTTGGCATACCCAATGTGGACAGCTATTTGAGTCCAGAATTCATATTCATGTGAATTCATCCATTAGATTATCCACTCATTCATCGGGCATTTATTTGAGAAATATTTAACAGAAAAAAAAAAGCAAACCAAAATTCTCGACTTCAAGCAACAATGCGTCAGCTAGAGAGACAACATACACACCGGAAACGGGAACACTAGGAAGTAGGTGCATTTGATCCCAGGTGGATGCTGAGAGACTACAGGGAGCACTTGTTGTTGCCTAGAGTAAGCCAGGGAGGCTCGGTGAAGTAATACTGTTTGGTTGAATTTTAAAAAAGAGTTGCTGGAAACTGACTGCTGGGGGGAGTTGGACCTTTCAGGTAGAGAGAACCAAGTGCAAAAGATTAGGCAGGAGACCATTGTGTGTGGGGCAGGTAGGCAGATCAACCTGACTGGAGAAGAACAGCAGATGAAGCTGGAGAGTTGAGGGTCAGAGAAGAGTTGATGAAAGGGCTCTGAGTACTAGAAGTTCAGACATAAAATGTAGGCAATAAGAAGCCACTGTAAATTTCAGCAAAAGGAGTGAGAGATTCTTTCAATAATCGTGGGCAGGAGGGATTGGAATAGGGAGAAATTGGAGACAGAAGACCAAGTAGAAGGCTATTTAACTAGTCCTCTGGGTGAAGTGAGAGGGACTTAACTATTGTGATGGCTGTGGGAATAAACCAGAAGGGAAGGATCCAGAGGACACTGTGGAGGGAGAATCCACAGACCATGATAATGACTTGGATTCAATGGGCCAAAGAAAAGAAGAAGTAAACAAACTCTACATTCTGATTCACAAAACAGGCCAGTCAAGCATCAAGCCTTAGTAATTTTTTATTTTAAATGAATCAACTTGAAATGACTGTCCCTGAAAAACATTTTTATTATCTGGCCATTAGGGTAAGATAAAGATATATGCTGTCTAAGAAACCCAGATTCCTGCTTAATACTTATTAATAGACATTGTCATTCTTGATTTCTTAAAAACACATTTCTATAAAAAATGTCTAGGGAAATTGATTTAGACTTGTCATATAAATTTTTATCTGGATGAGGCACCATTAGAACTGAATAATAAAAGAAGCTTAGAAACATACCCAGTGCATGTATCTGCATTATATACATCTATAAGGACTCTATAGAAAAGTTGAGTTTAAATTTAAAAAAAAAAATTCAAAATTGCATAAGAAGACCTAGGTCATTTTATCAAAATAAGGGTTAAAGATTCTGTAGACACATAAAAAAAAAGCGTTGAGAAAAATTTGAAGAGTCAAAGCGTTACTGAAGTGGTTACTATTAATCTTAGCGTGGTTTTTCTCTTTTTCATAAGTTAGCTAAAGTTTTTCTAAATTGTTTTAGTAAAATTGTGATAAGATAAAAATTGCCCACAAGCAGGAAAAAATATGTATATATATATATATATATATATACACACACGTGTAAAAATATGTTTTTGGTGAAAATCACTATATTCCCATAGTCAGAAATTTTTATTACTTTAATTAATTTTATAACAGGTAATAAACACATTACCTATTATATTATATTGAAATATATAAAAATGAACACAGTGAAGAATAAGTCTTTCTCACCTCCACTCAGGTCTTCTAGTCCCTCAGTTATCACTGCTACTACTCAGTAATCATTGTCACCAATATCTTAGAAATCCTTCTAGAGATATGCAGTGCATCTACACACAAGAAGATTATTCTGGATAGCAAGATGAATATGGGAACATAAATTATTTTTCACTCTACAGTCAGATTTTTCTTTTTCTGAGTTTCATGGAAGGAAGCGAAGATAATCAGTTGAAAAATAAAGAGAATGGGAATTAAAGCCATGCAGTTAGAGACTACGAGTAAGGAAGTGGGTTGTGTGCTGCAACAAGACTCTCACCTATGGAAGGAGACTGGGAAGGGGAGGGATGAAGAGACGGAAGCCAAGCAAGGACAGTATCTAGGATGAGAGTGCCAACAGAGAGGAGAAGGGAGGGCACGACACAGCAAAAGTGAGGACACATCAAGAAAACAGGTCTTGGTAAGAAATGGGCAGGTAACAAGGAAAGGATGGAACCCAGCATAGCAATCACGGCTCACACACAACATGGAACGAAACTGCGTCTCCTCGGTTCACCCTACCTCATAGCTGCGCCTATCCGGGGAGGTCAGTTCAAAGCAGCATTCCTTCTTGGAATCTTTTCGCAGGTAGGGGGCCATCCGCACACTGTAGCCCTTAATGAGAAAGGTCCCTTTGGGCTGCTTGCCTGCAAGACAGGAAAGTTCCCTGTACCCCTAGAGAGATGCAACTGCCAAGAGAAGGCATCTTCTCTGGTACGTAAAATGAAAGCACAGAAACAGCTGTTACATCCCTGAGGAACCACAATAGTCAAGGAAAGGTTATTAAGGAAGCTTAAGAAGAGGCTACTGCGACAGCGAGGCAGGTATCACTGCCAAGCTGGGGAAATGCAACATGAAAGGTTATTTTGCCAAAAGAGTACAACAGAGACAGAGAATTTATTAGAATGTTAAGAGATCTATAATAACAGAAAGAAGGAATTATTACAGCAGGGGGAGTGCGGCTGGAAACGTGAGGCTCTTGAAGACCATTACAGAACTGAAACATTATTATCAGGGCCAGCAGAGCTCACAGTTGAGGGGAGGGACAGCAGGGCAGGGGCACCACAAGTTCCTGGGACCTTCTCCTCTCCCCCGCCCGCAGGTGGGCTGGGAATTGATGCCAGAGGGAGAATAATTAAAGCTTAGTATTTTATCCCCCTTCCAAGAGGTCACACTGGGAAGCAGCAGAGTACTGTTGAGTATGATTAGATGACGAGGAAGGAGATAAAAGGAAAAGGAACCTAAGTGAAGGAAAGGAGGGACTACTCTGCCTGTCACTCTCTTCTTAAAAATAAAACATTGGAAACAGGAAAAGAGGGGGTGGCTCCCAGTGATTCTGCGTCCTCATGATGTGGTTCAGGCAGAGCACGGAGAAGAGTGGAACCACAGTGTCTAGGTGACGCTCTGTGTCCTGTTATCACGTGGAACGAATTGCTTAATAAACGCTTTTCGATGATGATGATGATAAGGGTGGCAGTGGGACGACAATATTAAAAGAAACGAAAAGACAAAGACTCTGTCCTTACCTGGTTGAGCTAAAAGAAATACACAAACACTCTCTATTTACTAAGAAAATGTCTTGGGCACAATAAGAAGTAACTGGTGAGAAGGGAGCCATGCAACAGTGCTTTTTGACACCAGAATCTTTTTTGTTAATGTATCTCTCCTTGTTCTAACTGGCCACTAAAATGTTTTGTTGTTTCTTTGGTCACCACATTTTATTTCAGCCTGACGGCCAAATGGTCAATGAAAGTCTCCACGTCCCTCGCTCTTGCTCCCCCCTCCCTCAGCTGCTCTTCCCCCCTCAGCTGCTCTCTCCCCCTCTCAGCTGCTCTCCCCTCTCACCAGCTCTCCCTCCTCTCACCTTGAGACTAAAGGATTCTGAATGAACGAACATGATACCTGGTTTTATATCCAGATATGCCAACCATTTATTTAAATGCAAGAGAAATGACAAACATTTTTACAATGACCTAAATGTTAAAATGAGTTTGAAGGTTTAAAATAAGAAAATAACACAATAACACCTGGGAAGAAATTGTGGTTGCTGTATTTGAGAGTGGGCTGGGGGTTGAGCAGGGGACTTGTTACTCAGTTTTTGAGCTGTGCGGCTATCATTTCCAAACAGGGCTTCACGCTTCACCCCTGGCTGGGAAAGGCTCTGAGGAATCCCAGACAGTGATCCCAGGATGAAGGGCAGTGACGCATGTTCCAGGCAGAGAGGCAGGGTGAGGCAACTGCCTGGAAGCCCAAGGGCAAATCTTAAAGATTCCAAGTCACTTAGTAAAGTTGCAGTTTTTTCTGCTACCTTAGTGCCACAGGCAACTGGGCAGATATCTGATTATTCCTTAGACTGCATATCCAGGCACTGGGAGAGGAATAAGTCTGGGAAAGAAGGAAGAGAGGAGAGACAGAAGATGACTGAAAGGAAAAACAAGGATGTACTCTGAATCACTGGCCTCTGTACCCAGGCAGCAGAGCAAAGGAAAGCCTCCAAGAATTCGTGCTTTGCTTTATCTTCCTCTTGCTTCATAGGATTACCCCTGGGGCAGTCCGACTGTGTAGGAGGCTCGCTGTTTGGAAGCTTGCATTCACCTACAATGATAATGTTTAGCTTGTGTTTATTTGTAGCTGCCTCCAGTTTGTGCTTCTATCTTCTATTCCTTCTCGGGAACTGAGCAACTGTGTTAAGCACGGACGGGAGGTCTTTGAGGGATGGCTCACGAGTGCTGTGCTTGATTGAGTCAGTGGTGGCCCATTTAGAAGCTGCCTCCAGCCTGAGTCAACACTGCTGCTGCTGCCATCTGGCTGAAGGGTGTCTCTCGAGCACAGCCCACTGGACTACATCCCAGGAGTCATTAGGATAACGTTTGGAGCATCTCTTAGAGAGTGTGGACTCAGGGATTCTGTTTCTGGGCCATTGGTAAGCTATTAAAATCTTTCTCAGAATTAATTTTTTTTCAATATTTTAACTATATTATAATGCCTATAAAGAGTTTGAGGTCTTTTTTTTTTTTTTTTTTTTTTTTTTTTACAAAAAAAAGAATGCCATAGTGTTTAACCTTGATAATATTGTGTTATTAGTCATAGTAAAAGATAACCTTTTGGGGACTGGCCCCATGGCCTACTGATTAAGTTTGGTGCACTGTGCTTCAATGGCCTGGGTTCAGTTCCCAGGGACGGACCTAAAGCACTCGTCAGCAGCCACATTGTGGCAGCAACCCACATACAAAATAGAGGAAGATTGGCACAGATGTTAGCTCAGGGCAAATCTTGCTCAGCAAAAAAAAAAAGAAAGAAAGAAAAAGAAAAAAGATAACCTTTTGATATGCAGACCACACTATCCTAGTGTTTAAAGGGGAAATAATTTCTAAATTGGCATCGGAGCTTTTGGTGACAGGCAAGGTATTATTTACCCAAGCCTATTTCTTTCCCAAGCATGTCTCCATATGGGTGTTAGTTAAAGACTGCTATCTTGAGATCTAAGTACTTGAGAATTTACGAAGTGCTTGCATCCAGGAGTGAGATGCTGCTGTGCAAATGAGGGACACTTACTTTTCTCATTAGCATAGTAGTAGAAGAGGCCTCTGCTGACAACACACCATCGCTTCTGCCACTCCGACCCAAAGAAACTATGATCTAAACAGAACAGCAGTTAGGGACATAAATTCAGGGAACTACAATCACTGAGGAGTCCATGAAATCCAACAACACACAGTCCAGCGTGTTCTTATTTTATTTCCCAGGTTAATGGGCTGTGAAACCCTCCCTTGCACTCCCACAGGTTATCCCATGTTGACGCAGAGGCCAGAGGACTCAGTCAGTCATAGGTCCGAGTTCCAAACAGGGCTTGCCCCCTCCAACCCCTCACAGCTGTCTCTCTATCTTCCTTTCTATCTTTCAGGTTCTAATCTCATTCTGTATTTTTCAAATTCCCCATGATATTTTTATGTGTTGCCTTTAGCAAACCAAAATGATGCTCCAGACCACGGGCACGAGAAAGCCTTTCTCTGTACTAAGCCAATTTGCCTGTTGAGTGTTAAACCTGGGACTCCGACCCTAGTACTGTCCATGCTAATCAAATGAGCGAAAGGTCAAAATTTGGGCTTCCATGAAACTCCAAAGTGGGCTGCTTCACATGTGATATAAAAAGTATACTCTTGGCAACACAGTTTCACTCGTTATGGAGCACCCTGAGAGACGAGAACAAGAAGATCATCATTCACTCATTCAGCAAGACTTATTGAGCAGCGTTGGGTACAGGTGAGCAGTCCAGAGGCGCTCACAGTCTGCTGAAGATTTTGGGCGATCTCTCTTCAGCGCACACGCTGCACCAGACTTCTTTTCTTTCCTTGCCCTCCTTTTGCCTTACACCTGCCCAGCATAGAACTGCGCATTGAGAAGGTGCCCACTATGTTAGCCCTCTTTTTCGTCATTTCCCTTTCCTTTCTGGAATGTTCTAAGTCTGTGGGTCTAATCAGTACCTTTGCTTTTCTTCTCCAAGTATCCTTGCTTGATGATGTTATCAAGCTCTTGAGCGCCTCTTGTGATGTCTTCTATTCCTAAAAGGAAAGCAGCAAAACGCTTTGTTGAAATCTGACAGGATTTTCATTTATTTGGGCTACTTTAGATAATCTACATTAATAAAAAGGTGCAGAAGGGCTGTTGCTTAAACAAGGCACAAAATAAAACAATTTCTAGAAGATGGAGGGGAAAAAAGTAAATTTTCTTTCTTCCCAATATCTGACGTTAAAATTGCTTAAAATTATCTAAACATACATTAGTTTGTGCAAGGGGAGGTAGCCTAAATATGTACTGATTGGCAAGAAGAGGACTCCAGAGGATTAAGAATTTGCTGGGGATATAAGCTCCAAATTGGATAATCCAAAGTCGAATGAATAGCTACCAGCACGACAAGCTTTAATGAGTGATAGAGTTCATCAGAAACAGTCACCTCAGAGGGAGCAATAAACACAGACTTTTCTTTAACAAACAGAAAGCCACCTTAGTGGACATAAATTTTATTAAGTTCACACAAAGAAGGGCTTTGTAAGCTGAACTTGGCAATAACTGCCAAATCCTGGTTTGCCAAAGTATGGGACAGAGTCTAAACATGACAGAAGCCTTTACAAAGAAGACCCTGGAACTGACAGCCTTTAATTGTATGTTGCTAACGTTCCTGGCTTTCAATTAGCCTCGTTAGGTACAAATTTATTGAGAAGTCAAGATCCTAATCCATCTTCCACCACTGGGGTTTATACTTATGGAGAGCCTAAGGACAGAAATGAGGAAGAATTTTATTCCTCAAAAAATAAAATGAAACAAGAATAAAAAACCTCAAAAACTCTTTAAAAAATACAACTGTGCATTTCTTAATTAGGAGAAATGAAGGAGTGGGCTTGCATAATTCTAATATTTATAGTTTTTAGTCCCCAGACCCAACTCTCTTTTGGTTTGCCTTAAAAAATTTAGAAAGTGGGGCCTGCCCGGTGGTGCAGCGGTTAAGTGTGCACGTTCCACTTCTGCAGCCCAGGGTTCGCCGGTTCAGATCCCGGGTGCGGACATGGCACTGCTTGGCAAGCCACGCTGTGGGAGGCATCCCACATATAAAGTATAGGAAGTTGGGCCCGGATGTTAGCTCAGGGCCAGTCTTCCTCAGCAAAAAGAGGAGGATTGGCAGCAGTTAGCTCAGGGCTAATCTTCCTCAAAAAAAAAAAAAATTTAGAAAGCAAACAAATACAAACCAAATTAAGGCACAACCACAGATTAAATCAATTGGGTCACCTATATAATATCTTGAGACTTTGGGTGGAATAATTTTCTTTCCAATCACACAATTGTTTTTTGAACATTTCCTACAATAGCGTTTATTCAGTGGTGGCTATGAACTGGCACTGTGCTCAGGGCTTTACATACTTTTTGTTTAAAAATAACATTTTAAGACAATTTAAAATGCAACTAAAATTACTTTTTGCTTCTAAGTTGTTTCAAACTTAGTTTTAAAAATGTAAATCAGAAGAGCTTCTCTTTTTCTTTTTTAGTGTGTCTAAGTGCCTGATTCTTTGTCCTATTTGTCCTTATTGTCAACTTCCTTGCTCATGGACTATTTTCATGTGTGTCTTACGGTGAGCAGACCATGTGGCTGCTATAAATCCTCCCAGATGGGTCTCAGGGTGCATGCAGGAGATGAACAGCAGCAAAAGAAACTTCATCTGTCTAGGATCCTTTCATTTCTCACAGCCCTCTGAAAATTCTAATATCTCTTTGCCAATGCTCTCCAAGAAAAGAGAAACACATCCTACTGAGGGTCTGGCAGCTGGTTCGAGGACCGGGTCTGGTTAAGAAGCCCCTTTGGAGGAGAGCCCATATTGCTCCTAGAGGCCTAACAATTAAATGAAAGACACAGGAGATAAGAAAAATAGGATCCCCCAAGCTTGGAGTTTCCATCTCTTCCTCCTACAGTCTCCCCACCCCGTGCCTCGGTTTCCTCATTTATAAAATGAGACTGTCATTAGCATGTAGCCCATAGGGTTGTTATGAGGGATGACCGAGTCAATACATGTAAAACTCGTGCAGCAAATCCCGGGACATAGTAAGGGGGCTGTAAGTTACATTTTCCCCCCTTTCTTAAGGTCTTGTTAAACTTAGAGACATAGCTTCTCGTTAAAGATGCCGAGAGTCTGAATCATAAAAAACATGTTAAACGTTCTATTAGAATTCAAACCTCCTTTTTTAATGCAAATCTAAATGCCATTTTATGGAACATCTATAATTATGAAAATGGGAAGACATTGCCTCGTGTGCGGGGAGAGTCTGTGAGTATGAATATTACATTAATGTGCCCCACACCAGCTCACTGATCCTGCTGGCAGGAGCATAAAAAATGCTTGAGTGAAACTTTTATTTAGATGTTAAGACTCGAGGCCCCAGCGGGGTGACAGAGACAGTCCCTGCGAGTTGCCATCAGAGAGAAAGCTCGAATTGAATTACCCAGGGGGGAAGGAAGTAGTGATGAGCACTGCTTCGCTTATTTAATTTCATTTACTTTCAGTACATTATCAGCATGAGGCTTTTCTCTCCCCACCAATCGAAACCCAAGAATGCCACCACCAAGAAAACAAAGATATAATGCAGCAGAGATGTTTGAACCCCAAGTCACTGATTCTAGGAGACTGGGACAGAACCATCAGCACGCTCTCTCTTTAGCACACTCGGTTTGCTAAAATTGGGCACTGAATGAGTTGCTGAATTTTGTCTCTTGGTCATTCACCAACAGGATGCTCAAGAGTAATAGAGCTGGAAATACATCTGTTATAGGCTACGTTTTTGTAAGATGTGTCATATTGCTTTCTTATTAGAGGGAATCTGTAGTGATGAACTCTCTTGCCTAGTTTCCCTCATGGGCAGTGGGAAAAATAGGATTATAGGGGAAGTTTGGAATGGCTATGGAAAAAAATTAGGAAATCAAATCAAATCATTTTTCTATTCTATTATTGTCTTCTACGTACAAAGCACTGTGTGGTGAGTACAATAACACAGTTGTTCTCCATGCTCAGTAAAGGTGACTCCGAGCTCAACCTCGTTAGCTCCATGATCTATCAGATACATCCAGATAACCAAGATGGGAAGCCAGTGTGGCAATCAAGCTATCTCCTCTTTCAGTGTCAGCTCAGGGTCCTACTGATCAAGAACTGGTAATCCTGAGGATGCACACATTAGCCACAGTCCTGGGGTGATGAAGCAGGAGGAGTCCTGTATGCCTGAATTCACACCTACTGGCAAACAAACAGATCTCCAGAACTGCTTAACGCATAACGGAGAGTATGTAAATGCTTTGCAGGATGATAATAAAAATAGGAAGAAACCACAAACAATAGCATGAATTGCTATTTTAAGGCAAAACCATTTATATTTAAGTTTACAATTTTTTAAAAACTTGAGGTTTTTGTCCATTACCTGAAAAAAGATAATCACCACCTTAATGAAAAAATAGAAATGATTTAGATTTATTGGGCATAAATGGCCCTCTTGGATAAACCTAAGGGTGTATCACATTATGTCAGCACAAAACAGAATTACATTAGTGTCATAATCTCTCTCTACTACTATACTTAACTAAATCTTTCAGAGTAGCCCAAATAAAGAAAAGGTTCACTTAGCTGAAGGATGTGGGGCCATAAAGATACGATCAACAGAGAAGTGTGTTCCCCAGAAGTGATGGCCACCCAACTTTCATGACAGATAAGGATAAAAGAAATTCTCAGACATCCTTCTCTCCTCACCCAGACTCCTTTAAACCTTTGTATCCCACCCAGACCCAACTCTGCAATAAAAAACGACAGAGTAGGCTTCCATCTCTCAGTGCTAAACATGACTCCTCAGTCAGCTATGCACAGAACAATGGGGACCCTTTGGAGTGTGATACATTTCCATAAAGCAGTCAATAAAAAAGACACAGGAGCTTATGTGAGTCGCGGCCTATTTAATCAGCTGCGTTCTAGCCCACTGAGAAAAGAGAATTGGAGAAATCAGTTGGCAACACCTCAGCACAAGGCTAATAGCACAAGAGGCCACACAATTTCCACCGCAAAAAGGCTGCAGCCCCAACAGAACAAACCAGGTGCCCAGGAACTTCCATTATAGGCAGCTGGCTTGGTCTCTTGCTAAATCAACCTGAAATGAAAATCAATGATTTTAAGAAAACATCTTTCATTCAACTCTTTTCCCCACTTCAACTGTGGACTTCTCTCATCCTCCCCTTTCCTTTTAATTCAAGTTCTTTTCAATGGTTTGAAAAAGGGGAGCAAACCAACTCCAGCCTAGAGACTGACAGCTGCCAGGCGTGACTTTCAGGCAGGGTGAAGTTTACCACGTTCCTTCATTAAAGTACCTATGATAAAGGAGTTGGCTGGATGAGGTTGGAGAAAATCTAATATTTGAAGGCTGGACATAGTCAAGTTCCACTTGCAATTTGAATTCGCACATGGATAGCTGGTGTGTGTGTGCATTTGCAAAGTGAGAAACACACTTCACAAAGCCTCAAGTGTACAGAGGGGAAGAGGGTATTGCAGGTAGGGTGGGTGGGGGAGGTATTCTCCTCTCCGTGGTCGTTGATCCCAAATCTGTGCATTAAACCCTCTCCTTTGTATTTGGTTTCTGTGGCCTTCTTTAATAAGTTCATTACTGTTTTTCCTCAGCTTCTTGCATTCCTGGGTTACTTTTTGCTTTTTTCTCAATTTTCAGGAATCAGTCAATAAGTGACAGGCAGGTTGAGATGTCTGGCAAGCAATGTTCATCTTCTGAGCATGATGCTAACGGAAGTTGGTTTCAATGACTCTTACTTTAAGAGTCCCTTGGGACAGGCTTATATAATTCTTAGACTTCTGTGGTTCCACTTGATATCCACTTGAGTTTACACTTATTCCTCATATTTTTCTGTCTTTGTGCTTCACTCATTAAGGAATTTAGACCAACACATGTAAGGTGAAAAATTCTAAATCATTAATAATAGACTTCGGATCTGAAAGTTTCAAAGATATAAAAACTACTCAAACAGACGGCT